AAACTGCAGTGTCTATACTTCTACTAAAGTAACTGTTAGGATAATTATCTCTAAATTATCTCTAAAGTCATCATTAAATTCATTCCCTTTAAATCATCTGTAGTCCAAATGTTTATTCAGCAGATTGTTTCAGAGTCTATTTAAAAACATTAAACATATCTTACCTTTCAATGCCATGTTGAAAGTTATCTATAACAGAATGTATTCAGCCTGAACATCCTATAGATGTTTCATCTCATTATTTTGTGCATATAAACTCAAATTACAGCAACTAATATAATCCCATTTAAGGATGGCCGATCTACAGGTTTACACATTGTAAATTCAATTCATGGACAACCTAAAGAAAAATGTTAAAACTATTTTTACATCACAGCATATTAAGGTTTAGCTTCCTCTAAACTTATAACTGCATTTTTAATTAATTCTCTCCCCATTGAAAGTGATTAAAGTTGACTTAGTATCTTTGAATGTTAGTGTATGAGAGCACCTTATTCCCATGTTGAGTCCTGTGTGGCAGGCAGCCAATACCAAGGTGTAATAAACTCACACATCTTCAATACTTTTGACACCACTGCTGTAAAGTTGGTTAAATAAGAAAAATAAGGTTGAAAAGAAAAGACAGTGTTTGCAATTTTCCTAATTTGCACAGAAAAATATTTGTTGCTTTTCCTTTTTAAATTCCCATCAAGATGCATGATTTAGTTTGAAATCACAGCCTAAATCCTGATACCTTACTGCTGATAGCAGAAGAATGCAATGATAAACCATTCATCAACTCTAATCAGATTTAATCTCAATGTTTAACCTGGAAAAAACGTCCTGATAATTTTCTCTTCACACCTGAATCAAATCAGCTCAACCTTCAATTAAACTGATAACAGTCTGCCTGCATTGAATGAATGGGAACAACTGAACAGGGCTTCAGTCCTGATGCAATTATTATTATTTTCACATTAACACCTAACTTCAGACAACTTCATTAACCAGATATAACATCTGCATGTACACGGAAAGCATAGGAGCGTTTAAAGCTGAGCGTTAAATGTCACTAATGTAATAAATTAGCTGAAACGCAATGAATTTCCTGTTTTATCGTGGCAGTAATAACCGCTGATAGTTAATAGTTAACGTTAATTAGCTTTTAACACCGGGAAAACCGATTCAAAACGTGATAATGCGTAACAGACGTAGCATATAAATATTCACAACTTCACTGCCTGGCGAATAAAGAAGTTAATTTTCGATAACTTACACTTTTAAAGGCGTTAATTGTGTCATAGCCAACTTTTCCGCTAGTGGTTAGTTTGTTTGGACTTAAGACTGTAGTTAAAAAGGGAAGTATCGCGAGAGTACGGATTTCCTGGCTGGATAGTTTGGACTCAGGCCACAAGAGGGCGCTCAATTACAAAACTTTGAAATGTTAAAGCAACGGGTGTGAACATGAATAATGGATTATTTTTCTGTTTAAATCTGCTTTAAGTTATGTTTAAAGGCCTGGTTGTATGAAAACGTCTTTTTATATAAGTTTTTGTGTGTTTATGGAGGATTGTAGAGCTTTTTTTATTTTTATTATGATTTTTTCGTGTGTGTTTT